TTCCTGCTGTGCAGAGCTAAATCTGCTGTCTAATCATGGACTTGTAAATACACTTCTGCCACTGCAAATTTGGTGCTTAAAATAGTGAATGTGAATTATTTTTAAGTGGACTCTCTTCAGTTAAGGTAAAGTAAATATTTGTTTTCACTGGGTACAATCCAATCAGGAATACATTACACATTTTCTAAATTGAGGTATTCAAGCAGTATGCTATGTCCTCAATGAGTGGGGCACTTTATGTTTGGAATACACCGTTCTAAAGAAAGTGCCAAATAGTACCTGTATGCTCTGTCAGAAAAATGCCCGGAATGTTTTTCCTCTGTCTGTCTGGCACCATTTGTGCCAACCATGACGTGTCAGAGAAGCGTTGGCTATTCAGGGAACGTGCTCTCGTGGTCAGTTTGATTTCTGCTCTCATTTGAGCAGCAGTTACGCCTGGGAGAGGCAATTGTTTTTAAGGTTTCACTAAAGAAGTTCAGCTTCCCGAAAGGGAAAAATCCAAGCATTTATGGCAAAAATGTGTATTGGTAAGAGCCAAGGAAGCTGTTGCAGGTGGGAAACTGGACTGTAGCATGGGGAAAGATAAGGAACACAAAAAAGGTGTGTATTTTGTAGTTGTGTTGTACTTCTGTAAGACGGAGTAGACTTGTGTATGCATGGCTGAACAAAAACTGCTCATGTCTCAGGAAGAGATGAGCAACTTAGACTATTGTTCATCTGTTTTCTGCATGGCTTCGAAACTGGTCGCCCTCCTTCACTCTCATTTTGTATTGTATCCTGTGGTTCTGATGTTATCAGATTGTGGATACATTTGTCTTCCTTTCATCAGTAAATCAACGTGCCTTCATCTTCTGATGTAGAAGGAGCTAACTTGTCAAATTTTGGCAGCAGGTATCCTGTAATTTTGCATTGCTTTTTTCCTTTCTTTATTGTCTGAGTTTGGTATGTACTTTTTTCTTATAATTGCATTTAATTCTGCATAAAAGAACTTTTAATGTTCAGGGATTTCAAAGAAATGTGGCACTGTGAAACACTGGGGTTCTTTTAAAGATTGAAATGTGATGACTAAAGGAAACAGATGTTGCTTTATTATTAAAATGTCCTACACTGCTCTCTGCTGGAAGAGTGGAAGTTTATGTTAAATATTCAAAAGTTCAGCTAAGACTATTTTTAGTCAAGATTTTGGTTTAATGATTTTTTTTTTGACCTCTAAAACAAACTTTTCCTAATTGTATATGGAATTTTTATTATTCCCTGTAAGTTTTGAAGAAAAGCACCTGGATATACTTTGCATTTAAAAAAAAAAAAGTATAAAGTTGTGAACCAAAATGTAAACTGACATGGGGATGAATTACCAGAGACTGTCTTCTTAATGGCAACGGAAAAAAGTGAACGGTTAACCTTAAAAATTCACCTGAACTTACTAGCTATTGAGCACATGATAACAGCAGTAGACATGTCAGAACTGTAAAGGGTTCTGAATGCCCTGCCTGAATTACCTTTTAATTGAGCCAGCAAAATAAAAGGAAAAAAGACTTACCTTTTATTTTATTTTCATAGCTCCTCTACCCAAAGTACTACTTAAGCATTTTCAATAACGTCACTATGGAATTGAATTGAAACGTGCCTTGCTCAGGTTAAATGCATAGGAAAACTTTCATTACATTCTGAAGGAAGAGGTGTTCCCTACAGATGCTCTGGTTTGTTCTGTCACAGATGGCCCCTGGCCATCACGGGCCTAGATCGTTCTCCTAGGTACTATCAATGGTAAAACTTCCGTTGATTCTAATATGATGAAATAGTGGCTGTTAGTGCTCTACAGCTGCATCAGCTTGCAAATCTTTGCATGTGGAGTGAGCACATCTGGTGCTCTGCTAATACTAGATTACAAATAGTCTGATCTGAGGTGTTTGTCTTGCATATGGCTGGTCAAGAGCTCACTTTCTTAATGGCAAACAGCAATGATGGAAGAACTTGCCTGGTGGCATGCCCGACACCAGGTTTTTTTGAATTGGCTTATGAATGAAGAACATCAACTTCAGGAATAAACCTTTTACTAGTTTCAAACAGTAAATACACGTAACAATCATCTGTAAACATTTTTCATCTGTAGTATGTATTTAATGTTAATGAACACTTAAGAATTTAGTGCATTTATTAATTTACATAGAGGAGTAATACTGAATGATCTGAAGAGGAGCTGCTACATTATTTTCTGTTTCTCTTCTGCAGTTAAGCATAGGAGTTGCATTAGCTTGACTCTCAGAAACAGTTACATTTTGTGGTGGTGTTCCTCATCAGCTGGGTTTGTAATAGAACCATAGCTGTGGGAGGGAACCTGGAGCCATCAAAGCAATCTCTGATGTTTAAAGTTCCCATTTAGAATTCTGCATCATGAGCCTGATTTGAAAAGGGAACTTCAATATTCACCAATTTTGCTTTGAAATTTTTGTTGTGGAAAATCTTCCGTGATGAATATTTATGCTATTCATGCCACGACTGTGCTGAATTCCCAATATAACAAATATTTGTTCTCTGCGTTTTTGTGAGATTATGATGAGAAAAGTCTGATGAAAAGACCATAATTACATGGCCGTGTTCCCATTTCAAAAGGATCGTTAGTTATTTACTTTAGAAATTCTGGAGGTGGCAGCACATCCATTGTGTGTTAAAGATTATACAAACACAGAGGGCTTTATCACATTGAGTTTGTAATCTGAATTCCTAGTTTTGCAAATATATATGTGTGCTTAGCTTAACTATTACGAATAATGCCGTAGTAATTGATACCTAATATTAAACAAAAGATGATGATAGGGCAGATCACACAGAAAAAGTAAAGAGCAAGTAAAAAAGCAATCAGTAAAATGCCTACAGTTAATACATTAGCTGTATGTTAAACCTATTGCATAGTTATTCTTTTGTCATATTTAGAAAAGGACTTGTCTTGGTTTGAAGTTCTGTTAATATTTTGCCCCAAAATGGGTCAGTCTAATAGATACAAATACTGAGAATATTTGCTTTTAATTGCTGTTTACGCTTGCAACTGTTATTTCCTGTGCTTACCAGGATGCCTGCACTGTCTATAACATGCCCTGGCCTGCTCACAGATTTTACAGCAACTATAAAGTTAAAGTGCATGGTGTATAAATATGCTTGTGTACAGATATCTGGTATTATTGTCATTCCTCTTAAATTCCCATCTGACCAGATCTACTTTCTTGTCCATTTAAGCTTAGTTTTGTACTTGTTTACTTGTTTTTTGCTCCCATTCACCTTTCCCTTTCTCTGTCACATGCAGTATCCATAACGTCCAAGAATCACTCTTCTTTCTCTGGATGTTTCTTCTGCAACTGTCACTCTTTCAGGGAAGAACACACCCTCTGTTTAAAGTAATCAGAAATGTTGCATGAAAGACATCAAATCAATACTCGAGCTTTCTGCTTTGTAATTACACAGCCTGTGTCTCATAGCTGGAGAACTGTAATAGCAGAGAACACTCACGGCAGACGTGTGTGTTGTTTTGCTTTACAGACTGTTGTGTCCAAGGTGGCACATTGTGTTTCAAAGTCCGCAGCAAATTTCTAACGCGACAATTTTTGTCAGAGTTGCAGTTCTTTGCAGGAGTACAGCTTGAGCACATTGACTACAGTAAACTTGGTTTGAAGTTTTAATAAAATTAAGAACTTCAGGGTTACTGTGTTGAAAGCATCTGTAACTTAGCACATTTAAGTTCCTTTTGAAACTGCTGGGACTTAAAAGTTATACATACCTCTGGGCATCATGTTACCCAGAGAATTGTAGACTTTCAAGAAAAAAGGGACTTTGTTCTTTCTTGTTAACGTTGTTGTGGTGTATACAGGTGTATGGTGTGACTTAAACCACTTGCACCTCAATGTAAAAAGCAATTCAAAATTAATTAATGGTTATACAGATGTGGTGCGGGCAGGATATCTTACCTTTCATTACAGTATAGTAGAAGTCAAGCAAAACTGTACAGAAGAGTGTAAAGGCATTTCAGTGTACAAATAAACAAATGGCAAGGTTATGAAGTGTTATGGTTTGTATATTAAGAGGTATATGTTTGTCCCTAAAAACTTGGTAAAAATACCATCTCCAGCTGCAATTCTTTGAATATGAGCCTTGTTTTTAAGTAAATTGTAGCCTAGTTCCTTTAATTCTATAAAATTAATGGACCAAGCAGTTCTGAGAACAAAATCAGGCCTTTTAAATTTATCTTGCATCACAGTTTGAAAGTTCTAGTAACATAGTCCAAACCATTGTCTGATGTTGATTCATGGGAAGTGTCCTGTATCAGTAGATTTTGTGTTTTTCCATTGTTTTCCAAAAGAGATGATATTACCAAAATGACAAGTTTCACAGTGGATAAAGGTGCTAAACCTCTGATTTACAGAACTGTATAGGATCTGGATAAAGAAAATGTTTTTTAACAGCTGCTTTTGGTAACTCTTCTATTTGTCTAATTAGAATTTAATTCTTGTTATTTTCTTGATTAGAAATAGCTGTATGAAGACTTGTTATTTATCAGCTATTGAAGTTATTGTCTTTCAAAATGTTTTTCAGACATAATTAGAAAAGAAGATTACTTGAGTTAATTAGGCTGTTCAAAGCATAACTTATTTCTTACAATTTACAATCTTTTCAGTTTCTTGGCAATACAGAAGTGGAGCAGCCAAAAGGCACAGAAGTTGTTAGAGATGCTGTTAGAAAATTAAAGGTAAGAAAAAATGCTTGATGAATTATAAATGGAATATGTTCTTAACCTGTTTTCACAGATAAGACACATTGTAAGGGTTTTTAGGTAAATTAGTTGGTTCTAGAAACCATTGTCTTTACTAATCTCTGCACTGGTGTGTAGGCCCGTCCCTATTACAGCTGTATTATCAGATGCTCTGCTGAACAAATATTTCATTTTCTCTTATATTATATAATTATAGTATAAAATTTATGTACTTTGATGTGTAATTCTTATTTTTTAGAAACATTAGGGCTTCATTAATACAAACTTAGGTAGCAACAATTTGGTTTAACTGCCATCTTCACTTTATGGCTATTGAATGCCTCTAATTATGGCACTCCAGATGTGTTGCCAGAATTTAAGAAAATGAAGTCTTCCTTGACTGAAAAACTAGTGGCTTCAGTAACCCCTGTCCTGCGCTCCTCTGGGTCGTGCATTGCTTCCTATGAGTCCCAGTGAGGTGAGTTGCAGCTTGTCGCAAAACCTAAGTGCGCACCCATTAAGGTCGGCTGTTGGTGCCAGAGTAGCACTAAGGAGGTCAGTTTGTTCTGAGTGGGCTGTGACAGCTCTGTGGGTACTGGCTGTCCCTGACTGCTTCAACTAAAGCTACTGGGCCTGATCCACGTAGACTTGTTAGACTGAAGGTGAAGGTTTGTGGCACTGGCATGAATGTTACTTACCCTCCAGCTTGAGTTGATTAGTGATGTATTTGGAAATGTAGCTGCAGTGAGAGAAAAGGGTTTACGAACCAAGCCTGTTTATGACAAGAGGCATTACTGCTGTGTCCTCCAGGTCTTCAAGTTCTATTGGAAAAGATGTGCACACGCAAAGACAATCTATGTGCTGGTGCACATGGGTGGCTGAGAAAATCAGACACAATTTCTTCTTGGTTGTATGTTCTTACGCACTGAGGAACTCGGTAGATAGAAAGTATCGTAGTGAAATGTCTTGTTGAGTGTTGCTAGCTGATAACGTGGCTTTGACTTCACAGTTTGAGTGACAGCTCATATGCTTAGAGCTCTTCAGACACTGTAAGTTGTAGCAGGGAATGCTGATTTGATTTGTTGGCTAACTTGCATTGCTGGGGGATTGCGCTGTTTCATGCTTAGCTGCTCAGAGCTATCGGAGCATTAGTTTATTTAGGTATAAAAATTCTTCTACCTCCTATTGTACTTTCCATAACTTTTTGTAGTGTTTTCATTATTCATTTAAACAGAAGTTCCTCAGAAACAGACAGAAAACTTTGCGAATCAATATTAAAAAGTTTGCGTCTATGTCATTACTATGATGAAAAAAGGAAGAAGGAAGGCATGAAACACTATTCATGTAGCTCAGCTTTCAAGACTTTACATTTCCCTTGAAAAAGTAATCTTTACAAGATTGATCAGTAATTGTATTAAGGTATTGAAACAGAAGTTCTTTGCCACTAATTTCACTCTACCAAAATAGTACAGCTTCCTTTAAAGGTTCGTTTAGCCAACTCTTAGAATGTTTTATGCCAAAAATATTTCCTCTGCTGCTGTTCATCAGAGACATTTTTGCCTAGTTGTTTTTAAGTGTTTTAGGCTAACGTGAATTTGACCCTTTTTCAGCATTGCAGCATGCTACTAGTGGAAGCAAAATGTATGGGTTTTTATGCACCTCGTACAGTTCACAGCTGATACTGGAGTGAAGCCCATTGTGTCAGATGTTTTGTGTTTGTAACATTCCGTTACCCTGAGCAAAATCAATTCTGTGCAGAAATCTGTCAAGATAATCTCCTGCTGTGGAGAGGTTTTGATTTTATTTTAATGATGTTTTATCAGACTCCTCCCAAGTAAAGCTGCTGCTAAGCGTCTGTCTCACTGGTGGAACTCCAGGTTAACGTGGGCTCTCACTGATCGTTGGAGGCCTTTGGTGGGTTGGATTTCATTGTTTGGTACCTTGAAATAGTTTCCTCTAAAAGCAGACCCGAAAAGGATTTCACATAACTGTTTTCTGAAGTGCAGGGGGAGCCAGAACCATTTTCCTGTCTTGGGGAGAAAAAAAAAAGTCTTCCTAGCACTAAAATGTAGAAGTAGAATTTTTCTGTATATACCTGTGGTGTCACTGGATTATTTAGATATCCGTTCTAACTTTTGATACATGTTCCCTAAATAAACTTCGCTGGAGATACAAAAATTGTTGCTACCAGAATTACACTATTTTTTTGAGAAGTTTGGACCTTAAGTGTCAAGCATTACATGGGATCTTATCCAATTACAAGTTTATTAGAACACCCACAAAGTAATTAAAGACAATTTTTTGAAAGACTTGACAAATGTTGGAACAGAATTCAGAGAGCAATGAAGAAATTTTATGTTTGAAACTATCCTCAATTAATTGAGTACTCATGTCAACATTATGTTATGCATTGGAATTCTCTGAAGAGAAGACTAAAGGTACTGGATTTTATTATTAACCATACATCTCTAGCTTGTCTTTAGAAAATGTTAATTACAGATTTTAAACCAGTGAAAGCAACTTGAAAACGAACATCTTATTTTGAAAGAAAACATACATAGTGTTTTTTGGAGTAGGAGTTTCTTTTTTAAAGATTGTGTACCTTGTGATGCTGTATTTATATTTTTTGATTATATGGGTTTGGTTTTAATCACAATGTTCTTAATATGTTTTTAATGAAAATTAATAGATAGCAGAAACACGACTGACTTTCCTAATTTGGAGCTATTTTTATAACTGATGTGCATTGCACTCATAACCTTTTGAAGTCATGTGCTCATAGTGATGCAGACCATGCAATACTGTCACTGTCAACTACTTTTCCTATGGCATCGTATCATCAAACTGTCAGAGCAGACATTCAGAGTAGACTCTCTACTTCTTTAAATCAAAAGCTCTTAACTCATACAGCACAAAGACTCTTGGCTTGCCAAACATAGGTTTGTGCAAAAACATAACAAACCATTCCATCAAATTATTTGTACCAGCAGATGGAGCTGATGTTCTAGAGGAAAAGACGATAGCTTGGAGAAATGTTTCTGGATGCTTCATTGTACTAGTTTTATCCAAAATTCTACTGCTACATTTTCTAAACGCTTGAAAATTTTGCTGGGTCAGTGGCAATTTGAATATACATTTTTTTCAAGCATCTGTATTTTTCAGAGGGTTGTCCAGTGGTTTTGTCTAGTTGGGATTTCCACTTGTGTTTCTCGGAGCTGTACTGCAGGAGAAAGAAGAAAGTCGGACACTTCCATGTTTTAAAATGTGTATTTTGAGGTTTTAAAATGTGTGTTTTTATTTCTAAGTTAAGGTGAGCTGTTCTCATAATTTGATACAAACAATTTTTTCCTTCCACTTTTCTAGTCGTACTAATTTCTTGAATGAACTAAAAACTAAGGGAAATGGTACCAATATGTTGTGTCAGAACATGCCTATGTTATTCAAATGTATAAATTTTGTCAAATCACTCTTTATTTTATAAAGTGAAATTATAACTTTCCTTGATTAGTGAAGGATATAATTTCTAAATCAGACTGTAGGAATGAATTGGACCGTTCTCAAAAAGTGCTTGTAGGATTGCCAGAGGTGAGAAGAGGTGGAAAGCTCAATGTGGCAGATGGAAGGGGCAGCATAACCAGACCACTGGTGAGAAAATGGCATGGAGGAGTGCTAGGGAGAAACCAGAAGTGAACACTTGAGTTTTGGTTTGTTTCTTTTGTAGTCTTCAAAGGATGTTTTTGTGAGGACCAAACTTGAGGCTGTTCTCTTACCCAACTTCCAACTCAGTCTGCTTTTCTCCTCTTCTTTTCTTCTGCAACTGCAGATGACCAGAGATAATGTAAATAGAATTAATCACTTTGAAGCTACTTGAAATATTCTTCATTGGCTCCTTGGCCCGTAAATATACAAAAAGTGAGGCGTGCTCTTTCACACACCTCCACACATGCTGGCATGCTGTCCTGCTGCTGCCATTAATTGACCATCAGTGGATATTATTCTGAGCTCCCTTTCAGGGTAAAGCTGTGTTTCATTTGTTGGTGAAAGGACAGAGGAGGGTGGAGTACAGAAAATCCTTTAGCACTGGGATAAAGAGCTTCCCAGTCAAGCCTTACAGCCATAACTGTTCTCTTTGAAGTACTGGAGAAGGCAGAATGTGTGGTTCAGGACCAGCCAGAGACAGCTTGAAGACCAAAACAGATCAGATGAGATGAGTTGAAGAAGACAATAAGCGTTTACCCTCTCTCTCTCTCAAAAGAAACCCAAGACCCAAACAACCAAACACTAAAACAAAACACCAAAAAACAAACCCCCCAAACCCCACACCATCAAACAACAACAACAGAACAAACCCAAACAAACAAAAACATTGCCAAAAAACCCCCCACAAACCGAAAATAAACAAAACAACCTCCAGGGACCGAGAGATAGAAAAAAAGACTGTAAAAAAGTGTCTTCTTCACTATGGTTGAAGTCAATAGCCTTCCTCTCAGCCCCCAGTGTTTGTTAGGAAAATAAAACACAACTTAGAAATGGATTTCTGAGACACTGTTGGGACATTCAAGTTCACCTATCTATGGCCCTTTCACACTTTTCCTGACAGCCGTTATTCATAGGTTATAATTTCATTATACCCGCATAAGGTGTGCATGATAGTTGGGACCATAAAATGACCCAAAAGATGATGATGTAGTCACTGGAAAAGAAACAGGGCCTATTTTTTTTTCAGGCGTCTTTCTTTTTAATGATTGTTGTTATGAAAAAATAGAGGAAAAACATCTTCTCAAAGCCAGGTCTAAAGCTGTCTCTCAGTTTAGAGAACTACGTTGCCCTCCAACAGACATCTTGTAAGATGCCCACATGTGCAACGTCTGATATCTCACTGGAAGCCTGTGTGAAATGAAGGGGTTGAACCTTTATTCTGTGGGCTGAAGATTAGCATCGAAATCACAAACATCTGCTTTCCATGTCTTGAGGTTTTTTGATAAATGCTTGAATTG